AGAAGAGTTCGAAGAGGATCACGAGGAGGGCGATGACGAGCACCTCTGTGTCGCTGGCGTGGTCGTTGCCGGACTCGACGAACCTCTCGCCCGATAAGGTGATGGCAGGCAGAAGTTTTTCTCCTGCGTAGGCGCGCGAGCGAGCGTCAGCGCGCCGAGGGCCACTGCGTGTCACTGCACCCACGTTGGAGCCGCGCGCACCGGGTCGGCCAGGAAGAGCATCGCCGAGGGAAGCGACGAGCGCCCGGGGAGCACGGGGCAGCGCCGCGTCCGAGCCCCAGGTCTGCCCAAGTACCTATCCACCATCTGGACATGTTCAGGTCCAAGCTGGCATGGCCGACTCGGGGTACCCCGCGCGACCCGGGCGACTCGATGGCCGCCTCCGCGGCGGCGGCGGCTGCAGCTCCATCGCCAGGGCCAAGCAGTCCGGGCCCTGAGGCCCCCAAGCAGTGCAAACATCCATCGCTTCCATGCCTCGAGGAGCGATCTACCGGTTGTCACCGTCATCATAGACGCCGAACGAAAACGCCTCTCAAACGCCTCGAGATTCAGTTTGGGTTTGGGGCTTGGAAAATGAATGTTTAAGTGGACCATTTCACCCACTATCCGAAGGGCACAAGGGAGTGTCCAGCTTGATTCGTTTCATTTTAAAAATCAGGGACCACTGGCGCGCGCTGGCACTAACACAGTGAGTACACACACACACAGGTTCACCACAAGAAGACGAATTATGAAAACCAAAGGCGGCTCGGCCGCAAGCTGGTCCCCCCCCACGGCAGCAACCTCGTCCCCCCTTTCTCGAGACGTTATACGGCAGCAAGCTCGTCCCCCTTTCCCGGCAATTCCCCGAGACCGTATTATGTTTCGGATCGATCGGATTGCTCCAAACTTGCGAAAAGTCACCAGCTCTGACCGCGAAATGCTGGAGCTCTGTGCGGCGCCCCTGGCCTCGCCCCTGGGAGGTCCATGCGACCTCAATGCACAGGTCTTCCGCGACCCGCACATCAGCTTTGCGCATGGAGGCTCCGCCGACCTCCGCGGCCGCCACAACGCGCTGTACAACTTTCTGTCTGCGCCAGACATCTCAGTCAATGTGAAGACGGAGGAGTCCGTGTTCAAGTTGCATGGTGGCGCTCTCACAGTCAACGGTTCCTTCCTCACCGAGGCGCACATTTTTGCGCGCTTCGCTCACCAGCGGAGTGCGACCGCCTCGTTCTGGGCCTCAGAACTCGACGAGGGCAACTTTGGATGGCAGGTGGTGAATGGCACGTGCGTCGGCCGCCCCTTCAAATTCGGATTCCATGGCCACAAGACATGCTTTGACCTCGCAATGTCGATGGATTACTCGAGCGCCACCTTTGTCTTCCAAAACTGGACGATGACCGTGCATGGCATGCGCTCCTGCGAGGGCTGCCTGGTTGTTGGCCCGGAGCATCGTCTCGACATAGGCTTCTCCGCACGCGGTGAACCGTCTCGCGACAAGCCACACGGCATCATCGGCCAGTCGTATGCCACACCGGGTCGCGCGCGGCACGGCAACAAAGACATCTACCCGTGGGCGGGATACTACACCACCCGCGCCCAGGCCGAAGGCGCCATCGAGGGCACGGTCTCAGATTACGAGGTGGCGAGCACGCACGCGACCGAGTACGCTTTTTCGCGCTTCAATGCAGCAAAGGGAGACCCCACGTCTGTGGAGGATATCACAGACAGAGTGGTCGACGCGTCGTCGATCGATCGCGTCGCCGACCCAGCCATGGAAACGGAGCGACGGCGACTATCTGAGGCACCCTGCCCGCCTCCGTCCGCCGGTGGGGACAGTGCGGTTGCAGCACCGCCACCGCCAGAACCGCCATCCCTTCCACCACCTCTCCAACCACCGCTCGATCCCATAGCGGCGACAGGGCCATACGCGTGGTTCAAGGAGGGCCGCTTCGATCTTGACAACTTGGTGTGGCCAGACGAGGCGAACCACCCCAGCGGAGATAGGCACGACGCGGAGCTCATTTCACAAAGCGACAAGTGCAACGCCAACTGTGCCTCCAACACCAATGGCCTGCAGAACTCCGTGAACGATCCACAGGACGTGATCAATCAAGGAAAGCCGGGCGTGGTCGCTCTGCGGGGCGAGATCGGTCTCAGCAGCCCTACATGCGGTGCGCTAGCGAACGACGGGTTCAAAGACACTTACACGGACGGCGTGGACTTTGGCAACGTGCTGCAGAAAGAGTACACCATGTGCTCCATCACCCGCTACTGGAAAAAGGATGGCTACCCGGGGCGCGTAGGGCCGGGGTGCAGGGACGATGTCCTGACCGGCCAAACAGATAGATGCACCAACGCCCAAACCGGGCCGCCTTATGATATGAAGCTCGAAGGTTGCATCCGATCTGTATACGGCCACTCGGGCCAAACCGTTGGCATCAACCGGGCGGGTTACAGCCAGTCAGGAGGCTGCTCATGGGGGCCCAACTGCAACATTTTGGGGTCCTACGCTGACGTATGCTGGTGTGTCGGACAGAACGGCGGATGTGTCAACGTGCATCCACGGGCGGCATACAATCAAGTCGACGACAACACCTACCAGTGGCTGGTGCTATGCGATCAGAACAGCGCCCCTACTACGCCTGGCGACTCCCAAATCAAGATCGCCAACAACGTCCAGTTTGCCAGCAACACCGCTCAGGATGCCAACAACCAGATCAACGAGCCCATTCATCTCTACATCAATCCGAACTACAAGCAAAACCCTTCCAAGGGTTTCCCATCCCACTTTGAGGTGGTGGAGGTCATCACGTGGAACAGACCGCTCTCAAATGACGAGATGCGGGCAGTCTTCAAAGAGCTGTGGGTGACCAGGATGGGCAATGAAGACAGCTGCGATTGGTTCGACCCCTCGAACAACAAGCCACCTTTTGTGACACAGGGGGGGCTGGGCACGCACCACGGTAGGTGTGATAACTTCCCGGATGAAGGACGATGCATCAACACTTTTCTGTAGGTGACTCCTTACCCGAGTTGGCGACGTATGTTTTTCCGACTATTTGACCATTCGCCCTATTCAGCAGGTCCCGCGGCACGACGGCTCTCTAGATTACAACGATTGATTTGCTGTGGGTTCACTCTGTGGGGTGGTGGTTTTTGAGAACCCCTGCCATTTTTGCAAAAAATCATTCCGGTCCAAAGAGCTCCCGTCGACAACGCGAAATGTGACGACGGTTCCGTACAGTGTGAAGAGTCGAGGCAGGAAACTTCTGCAGTAGCCAGGACGATCCGTCTTGCGCAGCAGGGTGTACTCTGAGGGTGTGAGGGTGGGTGTAGAGGATGTAGCGAGTGGAGCGCTGTAGAGCTGTAGAGCTGTAGAGCGCTGTAGAGCTGTAGAGCTGTTAGAGCGCTGTAGAGCTGTAGAGCTCTAGATCCGGCGCCCCTCCGCCTCTTCCGATTCCACGGCCGCCCCGGCACGAAAGAGTCGGAGAGCGAGAGAAGAGAGCCAAATGCCAAAAATCGCGTAAATAAACATACAGACAGGACACACAGGACATAGGAAGCAGCTCCCGCACGCCGCAGCCTCGGAGGGCTCGGCGCACGCAACCCACATAGCCACGGACACATGGCATGGAAGAGGAGGCGAGCTCTGGCGAGGTACTTCCAGCCTGCTGTGGTTGTGTGGAAACAGCTCACGCAGAGGCTCTCCTGGGCCCGTGAGGCGTGGGAGTGCCTTGCCAAGGCGAGCTAGACGGCAGGAGCAGCCCAGAACGCTCGTCTACACGGGCTTAGGCGCTGCTCGCTGGCGCTAGACGGGCCTGTCCACCTCGACGAGAGGTGCTGCGCACAGTCGAGAGCCGCAGCGCTCGCGAGGAGCGGCACGCAGAAGGGGTGCTCGATCGTGGGCAGAGGGAACGTCAGCCGCCCACCCCCAAAGTGCAGCGGCAGCGGCGGGTGTAAGAAGCACCACAGCGAAGCCGGGGTTGGAGCCGGAGGGGCCCAGAGTACCGCATCAGCACAGAGCGCGAGTAGCAGCAGCAGGGCGACCGTGAGCCATTTTGGCGCGGGCGCGAGATGGCCGCTTCCCGACACGGCGACGACGCGCTGGCCAGCCAAAGCCTCGATCTTCTTCGGCAGCAGCTGTAGCTGCGTGTCGCCGTGGCCCAACCTGCCAAAGGCTCCGCGGCCCCAGCTCCAGACGGCACCGCTGACGGTGAGGGCGAGGCTGTGCTCCACTCCCGCCGAAATAGCGACGACACGCTGGCCTGCCAAGGCCGCAATCTTCGTCGGCTGCCACTGGTCCTGATCGTCGCCGTGGCCCAGCGCGCCCAAGTATCCCTGGCCCCAGCTCCAGACAGCGCCGCCGGCGGTGAGGGCGAGGCTGTGGTATGTTCCCACCGACACGCTCACGGCGCGCTCACCACTCAGCGTCGACGGGAGCCGCGTCGGCGTGTTGAGCCGCCTCACGCCCTCGCCGTGGCCGAGTAGTCCTGGAAAGAAGGGCGGCGTATTGCCGCACGACGAGAGCCGCCCCTCGCCGACGATGAAGACGCTGTGATACTGGCCTGCCGCCGCCCTCGCCGGCGGGTTGGACTCGCACAGCAGCGCCGAATAGCACAGCCACCGCACGGCGCAGCCCTCACCCTCTGGCTGCGCCGGCAGCTCGAAGCCGCGCTCTTGCGCCCACAAGCGGATGGCCTCTAGCGCAAGCGAGGCGTGGGAGAGGAGCGAGACGGCCGCGACGCGAGCGATGTCGGCGGGGTCGCAGCGAGAGAAGGTGCGCACGAGGAGGTCCGTGGGGAGGTCGAGGAGGCGGGCGGGCGGCGGCGTGTCTGGAGAGGGAGCGGCGGTGGAGGCCAAGGCGAGGCGGCGCGAGCGGCGGCGCGGCGGGGTGGACATCGCGACGAAAAGAATTTTAAGGCGAACGAACAGAATTTGAGACATTCTGGGTTCAAAATGAAACGAATCGAGTGACTCTCCCTTGTGCCCCCATGCCGCGCGCAGTTCTCCTCCTGCTCCTGTCGCCGAGCAGCAGCGCTCTTCGCGTGGGCCCCGTGAGCTTCACCAACATCTTCTCTGACACCGCTCTTCGCGCGCAAACGCAGAGCGTGCGTTCGGCCCCCAGCACTCGTCTCGACACAGAGCGCGGTAGCACCGACCATCTCCTTGGCCCTTACTGCGCAGGTGCGCGGCCGGAGCTACGCAAACATGACCAAGTTATCGTCTTTCCGCGACCCCGTCGTGCGGACAGAGCTCAACACGCCGAGTGAGCTGCGGCAAGGCCCCGCGACGGCGTGGATCACGGCACCCTACCGCCTCTCCGTGCTCGCCGCCTGCTGGATGCTCTACCCTCCCTTGATCCTCTCGCTCCGATCGCTGCTGTCCCCGGCGACGCTGACGGGGGTGATGAACGCGGGGGGCATGCCCGGCGATGGCCTGCCGCTCGACGCGGGAGCCATCACCAGCGGATTCGCGCCCGCCATCTCGCTGCTCTACGGCGCGTGGCTCGGCCTCACTTTCAACATCCTCGAGGGGAGGCTGGGCGAGCTGCGCCGCAGAGATGCCCCGAGATTCACCGAGATTACCCCCGAGATTGCCCGAGGTCAGGCTCGGCGAGCTGCAGCGCACGGCGACCAAAGAGGCCTCCGAGCTCGGCGCCCTCGCGCGCCGGACGGCGATGCTGCTTGGGCCAGACGAGAGGTCGTGCGGCGGTGTGTTGTGGGAGGCGGACGCGGGGAGTCCGAGATCACCCGAGATTGCTCGAGATCGCCCGAGATCACCCGAGATTGCCCGAGACTAGGCGGACGCGGGGAGACCGCTCTCGGCGACGCTGCTCGACGCGCGGCAAGGGGAAGAAGGCGGCGGCGGCGGCGGCGGCGGCGGCGGCGAGGGCGTGGCTGATCTGGCCGTTGCCGAGGCTGCAGCGCGCGAGGAGGTGTTCTACACGATCTGGGAGCAGACGACGACACTCGCGGTGCGGGGAGATTGCACGAGATTGCACGAGATGACACGAGATTGCACGACCCCGGGAGCAGTCACCTTTGTCAAGGCCATCCCCCCCCCTACTCCCTATCCCCCCCACTCCCTATCCCCCCCCCTCTACCCCCCTCACCCCTCGCGAAACGACCCTCGCGGTGCGGAGGAGCTGGGCATCACCGAGATTCGGCGAGATTCGGCGAGATTCGGCGAGATTAGGCGCGCGAGGGGACGGGGCTGAGATTGCACGAGGGCACACGAGATCGCACGAGATCGCACGAGATCGCACGAGATTAGGCGCGCTCCCGGGCGGAGGAGCTGGAGGACATCGCCAACGAGGACCTCTACCAGCGGTACTGCACCAGCCTGCTGCGGTGCGTCTCGCTGGCGCGGCTGCGCGAGGGCGGGGCCCTTCGGGCGGGCGTCGAGGGCCGCGCGGACACGTGCATCGACCGCGTCGATGCGCTGATTGAGCTGCGCGCGACGCGGCTGTCGCAGGCGGGGCAGGGAGAGGGGTGGCGAGATCACACGAGGTCCCACGAGATCACACGAGATCAGACGAGATCACACGAGATCGCACGAGATCACACGAGATCAGACGAGATCACACGAGATCGCACGAGATCGCACGAGATCACACGAGATCAGACGAGATCACACGAGATCGCACGAGATCGCACGAGATCACACGAGATCACACGAGATCGCACGAGATCAGACGAGATCACACGAGATCGCACGAGATCGCACGAGATCACACGAGATCACACGAGACCGCACGAGATCGCACGAGAGTCCTCTCTCAGGAGACCAAGTCGCTGCCGGCGGCGCACTTCTTCATCCTCTTCGTCTTCTCGCTGCAACTCCTCGTCTCCTTCCTCATCCCGCTCGCCGCGGCGCCGGCCACGGAGGACGACGTCGTGCTGCGCGGCGCGTCTGCCTTCCCCTGCTCGTGGCTGGTAATGAATCGTGGATGATGAGCCAATCGAGAGCTTGCGTAGGCGCGTTTGCCTTCTTCTCGGCGACCCCCGCTCCCCGCCCGACTGACGCGAGCGGGTTGATGCCTCCGTTGCATACCTGTCGCACATCTCGGGATGTAGGCGACCTACACGCTCGTCTTCAACTTCGCGGTCGACCTCAACGACCCCTTCACAGGCAACTACCAGATCCGCCGCTCCGCCATCAACGCCAACCTCGTCGCGACGCGCCGCTGCGTCGCCGCCGCCGTCGGCGACGAGCGCGCGAGGGAGTGGCAGCGCGACGACGACCGGATCGCCGTCGAGCGGAGGCGGAGGAGGAGAGAGCGAGCCGCTGCGGGCGTGGAGAGCGCAGCGGCGCAGTCGCCTGCTCTGTGAGAGGGGCGAGCTCGAGCGTGGTGTCTGGTGAAGTCGTGCGACGTCACGCGACTGACAGAGTGTGTGTCTCGGAGTTTCGCCGCGCGTTCGAGCGCGTGGTCGGCGTGGTATGTGACTTTATGTTTGTATTACTGTTGTATTATCATTACCTTGGAGGCATCCCACTTCCCCAGACCCCACAGACGCGCAGAGGATGCTCAGGGACAGTCACTTGCACGCGCGGCGGGGGTCGCACCCGGCGCTGGACCGCGTGTGTGTGCGCGAGCGTCTCGCACTTGTCCCTGGATGTGAAGGAGAGCCGCAGGTGAGCCAGGGAGCGCGTTCTTCTCAGCTGATCGTGCAGTTGCATCCGCCGCCGGCGCCTCCCGCCTCGACCGCCTGCAGGCGCGCCTACACGACAGCAAGTCCATCGTGACGCGGCGTGGCCGCCCTGCCGGGGCGCGGGAGGGGCGTGGCGCGCGTGAATGTCCTCGAGCTTGGCCTTGTCGCTCAGGAGCATCACCTTGTCGACAAGGCCGCCCTTGTCGTACGGCTCGACGTTGATGCCAAACTCCTCGGGCGTCGGCAGGCCGATGGCCTTGTTGGCAGTCTGCGGCGTCCGGATCCCGTTTGGCCTTGGTGCCGTCTGCGGCGACTGGGTCCCGTTCCCATCGGGTGGGATCGCCGTCACCTGCGTGGGCGCCACCGGGAGCCGGGTAAGAAACGGGCGGTCCGGGGGGAGGAAGGGTGGGGGGCGGGGGGCGTACTGCACGCGAGTAGAGGTCAAAGCAGCCCTTCGAGTCGAACATGCCCTTGACCTCGACTAACGGTGTGAGGAAGTCGGCTGGCATGCCGTGCTCGCGCTCGCTCGGGTTGACAGAGGCCTCGCCGTTGCCGTTGCCATACATCAGGTGCGGCCAAGCGTCCGGGCCCGCGCGGTTCAGCGACACGTTGCCGTCCGCCGAGTAGTGCTTCATGAAGAAGGTGTCGGGGTAGTTGATATACCCGCCCTGGATCTGCGGACACTCCGGGTTGGGCGCAGAAGAATTCGAAAAGACCTCCGCGGTGAAGGAGTCGAACCACATGTGGAAATAGGGCGAGTCCTTCTCATAAGACCAGTAGAGTTGCGGCTGCACCTTCATCACCGCGTTGCGGTTCGCGATCGAGGTGGCGGGCAGGGGCCAGGGGCCAGAGTCGTTGGGACCGGGACCGGCGATCGGGACCGGCGACGTCTCGTTGGAGGCGTAGTCCTTGACCTGGGAGGGCGGGCAGGCATGCACGGATAGGTCGAGTCAAGGCGGGGCTTAGGCCAAGGCGGGCGGGCGGAGAGAGGGGGTCGGTAAGGCGAGAGGGTCTGGACGACGGTGTATGGACAGACGTCACCTTGCCGTTATACGGGTCGTGCTGCCAGGTGAAGCTCTGATTCACGTCGGGCGACGCAATGCCCGCCTCGCTGGCGTCGCCTGGCCCGCCTGGCGCGAAGTGCTGCGAGATGAAGCCCGACTGCGGCCGCGCATCCGGGTTAGGTCCGCCCGCCCACTTCTTAAGGTACAGCTCCTTGGACTTGCGCGTGACGTTGTCGTACACCGTGATCTTGGCGATATCCAAGGTGGCGGCAGAGGGGGCGACGTGGAGGTTGCCCTTGCAGTCCTTGGCAGTGTAGAGCTGCAGGATGCGGTCGAAGATGATATCAAGCTGCGTGTCGGTGTACCCGAGCGCGTACAACGACGTGCCGCTCGCGTCGAACGTCTCTTTCGAGCGAGGCGTACCAATGACCTACCGAGGGGGGATGGGGGCTACGTGGAAAGAGCGGCGTGTGGTGGATGCGGTTGGTAGGAGCGGAGGCGCACATGGCCCGAGTTCTTGAAGAAAGAGTTGGGCGAAGGCATACTCGAGTTGGCCTCCATGAAGTCGAAAAAGGAATAGGGTAGGATCTGAGCAGCCAGTGGGGCGGTCCGTGATTGATGTGTCTGGTAACATACGGGGGGTACGGTGGCGGGCATGATGATAGGGAGGGTGGCTCGCCTGCTGCTCGAACTTGCGCATGAGGGTCTGCGAGGCGGAGGCGCATGCGGCGCGCTGTCAGACAGAGGCGCACGCCATGCGAGGCGGCGAGGCCGGGCGAACGGGGGGTAGGCTGACAGAGGACAGGGAGAGCACGAGCTGCGAGGAGGGATGGCAGTCGCACCTCGAGATCGTCCCATGCCGGGTGGAGGACGATGTCGGCGAAAAGCAGCCGCCCGTTGCAGGGAGGCGCGTGCACGCTACCATGGGGGTGAACCGTGATCCCCTTGATGGCCTGCAGCTCGACCTTGATCATCGCGCGGACCATGTGCCGGATGTAGTTGAGCATGTGCGGCAGGCCGGAGCAGCAGTAGATGTTAATCGTGATGCCTTTCGTCGTCGCGCGAAAGAAGCTGAACGCCTTGCCCCCACTTTCAAACCACTGGTAGTTGGCGCGGAACAGCGCTTTGTACCTACACAGTTGGCGTAAGTCTTGAACACCGCCGGCTGGCGCAGCTCCCCGCTAGTTGGCGCACATGTTGGGCGTGCAGTGTACGGAGTCGATGGGCACCAGCGTGGTCGTGATCTGGTGGTAGACACTGGGCGCCACGCATTTGTGAAGAGGGTTCAATTTCCCCTGCATTGCAGGCAGGTCGAAGTAGTACTTGAGGATGACGCCAAAGTTGCCCGCCTGAGGCATGACGGCGGAGGACGGCGGTGGGTGGTGGTGGCCACAGTGTGTGCGGGGATAGAAGGCACCGCACCATCGCGCCGCGGCAGGCCCAGAGCAACTGGCGGAGCTCGTACTCGGGCGAATTGGCCCAAGCGTGCGTCTCTCGCACCGTGCCGGTTGAGTCGACCCCTGTGTGGACGGCGCGAGCGTGTGAGCGTGCGTCGGGATCTGTCGGGTGTGGTGGTCGGGGCGCACACACAGGCAAAATGGACGCCGCCGAGGTAGTCGCACGTCGTGCCGTGGTCGACCGAATAGATGCCGTAGCCGCCGCCGGTGACATGCCCACCAGCGCACACCGCCCAGCAGGAGCCGCCGGGGATAAGCAGGTTATGCTTCTTGAAGAGGTACTCGTACGCCGTCGCGAGTTGGAGGCCGCCCTCCATCGTGATGTAGGTGGACCCGTTGACATGCTCCTTTGCGGGACGAAAGGTGGTGGGTGCTAACTTCAGCGAGGGCAGTGGCGAGGGTGACAGTTGACTTTGTTCTTGGCCACGCTCTTGGGTGGCAGTTGGCGTGGGCGTGGCCAGGGTCACCTCGCCAATCCGGTTCATCAGCGAAGTGTCAATCACAATCTCCTTGGAGGTGCCAAACCTGCGGCGGGCGGACGGCAAATGGCGCCTCTGCCTTGGATGTTGGCTCTGCCGTGGGGCTCTGCGTGGGGCTCTGTCGTGCCAGCTACGAAGGTGTGCAGGGCGGTGCCGGCGGCGGTGGGGCCGCGCCCTTCGTAGCCGTGCCCCCCCGCCACGATGGAAAAGGAGAGGCCCTTGTGCACTGCGTCTTGCATCACCGTCATGAGCTCCTTTGCTGAGGTCACGGGCGCGACGTTGCCGATGCCCTCTTGCCCTCCTTGCGTCGCGTAGTAGAGGTTGAAGCCGGCCGACGCCCGCGACTGGACATAGTTCTCGGAGGCGGGCACCATTGAGCTGGCTGCGAAAGCAGGCCGATTCGTTTTGCCCGCCGCTGCGGTCGCGACATATACGACAATCAAAAGACGGCGGTAATGAAATCACGTGCGCTCTCCTAGAATTTTACAATCAAACTCCCTCGCTCAACACTGGGCACGGGACTGGCGCGAACTGGCACTAACACAGGTACACCACGGGAGCCGCCTAAGCGACTCCTGCGAGGGTGGCGAGGCACTTAGCTCCGTGCACCCGCCCACCCACCCCCGCCACAGGCAAGCTCATTCACGACCCTCTCCTAGAAATCAACGGAAAAAGAGCCATGGGCCCCCGAGTAGAGGGTGCGTTCTGCTGCTAGGGGAAACCCGGAGCGCGGAGCTATCCCTCGGAGACCCGTGTTATGGCCCTGCGACCGCGCACCCCCGGGGCTAGGGCTCTCTAGCCCGTAACCCGATGCCGATCATCCGGCCCGCTGGGTGCGCTTCTGAGCTCCCCGGCCCTGGATGTGAGGTTACCGACTGCACTCCAAGTGCTCCAAGTGCCCCCAGAAACTCAAATTTTGAGTCTCGATCTGTTTCTGTACCGTCTTGAGGTCTGAGGCTTGCGTCCTCGCCGGCGTCGCTCAGCCACAAGAAGCATAGTCCATAGAGCTGACGATCTCCTCATATTAGCGTCATCTTGTAGTGAACAGGCCGACTTCGCGGTTTGAGCGCCCAGCGCAGACCGACCGACCGCAGGGGGGTCCGGTCGGCGGCCGCGGAAGACCGCAGACCGGAGGGGGGTCCGGTCGGTCGGAGCGCAGACCGAGGGGGGGTCGGTCGGTCGGGTTGGCTCGAGGGTCACACCGCACATGCTCGCCGCAGCTGTGAATAAATTAGTATCTCTATCTCTTCCAACTGAGATTTTGCTCATGAAGCGGCGTCCAGCACCCGGATCGATTGCCATTCGCTATCGCTTGAAGAGCGACTCGGAAGCCGATGAGCCCGGTGACGGCGGCGGCGATGTGTCGATCAAGTCTCTTAGTCATTGGAAGGGACGATGCGCGCGCGTACTGTGGAGAACTGGAGCGCTGGAGCCAGAGCTTGTACACAGCGACGGCAAGCAGGATCAGGCCTGCGACTGCGTGGATGCTCCACATGTGTTTTTGGATCGAGACTCGGAGCGAAAAGCGAAGTAGGCCCGAATATTTCGTGTGCTAAAATATAAATTACACAGTGTTGCTGTTAGGAGCTACCGACACATGTACATGTGACATGTGGTAACTCTTCTTAGGGCCTAGCTAGTGAGAACGGAGGAAAGATCAGAGAAGGATCTTGAGACTGCACAGCTCTACGCGGGCGGCGACCGCACCGTGTAGCAAATAGGCAAACGCGAACCACTGCTGGGAAGTGCTGGATAAAGGTACGTACCCTCACTCAGCTGAGTGAGAGATCGACACGACATAGTACACAAGAATAGCGGCCTGGCTGGGCTGCCACTGCCACCCCAGCTTTGGGTGAAATGCGGCTCACGGTCGCGAAAAGTTGACGAGCGCGAAACGGTGCCTCGCCATTCTGCTCCCCAAGTTCTTCACCGAAACTCTGCAGCCGCGCGACTCAAATGCGTGCCGGATTTCGTCCATTGGCGTGTAGTGCATCTGCCGAGACAGATGAGTGGGACAGCTCAGGGTCAGGACGGAGCGTGTGTTAAAATGCCGGTGGATGGCACGCACAGGGTCTGTGGGGTGGGCTCTTGGGGCGGCCCGTCGCCTGCATTCCGCCCTTCTGGATCGACTTGTCCAAGTCGCATGACGACCGAACAGGAGTGAAGAATGGTATCTGCAGCAAGCCCTTGCCGCCACTCTTGAGCACGTCGCACATCTGCTGCATGAACACGGCCTGCAAGGGCGCCACCGCGTGCTGCAAAGCGATCCAACTGTGCACCACGTCGTACCGGCGGCCGCCCACAGAGGCGATGAGGTCGGGCGAGGTCACCAAGTGCTCGATGCGCCTGGCGTCGGCGGCGGCCAGGCGCTTGTACGCCTGTTTCTGAGCGAGGCGGAGATGGTTCCAGCTCTGATCGACGCAAGCCACTGCTGCGCCCAGCCTTGCAAACGCGTGAGCGAGTCGGCCTAACCCGCAGCCCACGTCAAGCACACGCATATCGTGAAGCGGAGGCGCGAGGTGCAGGTCGGCGAGCACCCGGTCAACATGTTTGCGGCCAGACTCATAAAACGTTCGGATTGTATTCTCAGACGGCGCCGTGCCTTGATCGTACTCGGCGACGCTCAGCACGCTCCACCACGGCCGGTCGCGGCCCATCAGGTTCCACTCGACGGCGTGTGCCGCAAACACGTTCTGAAGCTGGGCCAGAGTGTATGCCGCCCCACATTGTGGCACGTCGTACACACGGAGGCTGCCGTTGTGCAAGACCATACCGCTCTGTGGAGGCGGCGCGAGCACCCTCATACCTCATACGACAGCGCTGAGTAGCAATCTCGAGGTCGGGTTCGAAAGTGGGCCTATGACCCAACTCGAGTGTGTGTGTTCTCGAGGTTCTCGAGGTGGATATCCTTTGGCCGCGTTGGGTAGCGATGTGTGTGTGTGTGCTTAGGCTCTGTCGGGACGTGAGGCGTATGCGCCCAGGAGGGGAGGGCGCATGCGTAACGACGCTGCTAGAGATGCCTTTCGGGGCCCAGAGATAAAACTTCTTTCTGATGCCATGCGTGACCTAGTGGTGTCCCCAGCTATGGGCGTGTCCACGTTGGAGCCAGGTGTGGTGTGGACGCGAGAATAGCTCCGCCGTTCATGGAGGCAACCGATGCGAGTCGACTGGTGTGTGTCGTCGTGATATTTTGACGGATCGAAAATGGGCAAAAACGGGGTGATTTCGGTCATCCGTCAAAATATCTGAAGATCCTACTATAGGATTCTCCCCAAACCTTGCTCAGCTGATCCAGCACGGGCCGTAGGCCAGGCCTGGGCAAAGAAACCAGTACCTCATCAGGCTTCCCTGAGCGTCACAGCTCGGTGATCGCGCCGGCCGGAGGAGGAGCGAAATCGCGAACGGCCCGAGCAGAGAGGGCGACGGCGGAGCACGAGGGAACAACGGAAACGCTCCAACGACGCGAACCGAGGCACGGGCGACGACGGGGACGGGGAGGGCGACAGCGACGTCGAGGTTGACGCAACGGTATCGAGAGCGCCACCCAAAAGGAGCCGGACAGCCATGGAGGTCACCGAATGGAGGGCGAACGGCACGACACGAAAAGGCAGGGCGAGGCGGATGGAGAAAGAAGTGCCGAGGAGGCCATGGTGGAGGGGAGGGACGGGAGGACGAAAGAAGGGCGAGGAGGACGAGCGGCCCGCACAGGCCGCGAGCAGACAGCGCCTGCTGGCCATCTCGAGACATTCGCAAAGAACGCTAGCTACATGGGAGGGCTTCGTGAAGGATGGATTGAAAAACATTCGAACAAAGAAGAGGCGACGGGAGGAACCGGCAGAGGATGCAGTGACGTGACACACACACACACACACACACACACACACACACACACACACACACACACACACACACACACACACACACACACACACACACACCGCTCACCCACGCGCACCGGGCCTTGCACTTTAAATGCCGTGGGGCTCCTGTCGTTAGACGTGGAGACGCGAGGGTTGCCCCCCCTTGCCCCACCACCTCGTGTGTGTGGAGAAGTTTACCTTACCTTACCTTACCTTACACACACACACACACACACACACACACACACACACACACCGCTCTCACCCACACGGTCGCGCACTGCGGGCCTTGCACTTTGAATGCCGTGGGGCTCCTGTCGTCAGACGTGGAGACGCGAGGGTCGCGCCCCCCCTTGCCCCACCACCTCGTGTGTGTGGAGTCTGGAGAAGTTTACCTTACCTTACCTTACGTCAAACCTCCTCTTCTATCACCCGCGTACGACCAGCTGCCATAGCCCATGCGGCACACAAAACCGATCGTCGGCACTCTCGACCTCCCACCTCAACCATCACTGCTCAGTCCGCCTCCACTCTCTCCAACGGCGGAACGGCGGCCGCCCACTCACTTAGCCTGCTGGCCGAGCCACTCACCGAGCGCCTCCTCCGTGAAGAGCTTCCGATCTCTCGGGATGGCCATCGTCGCCGAGGGCGCCGTGGCGCCGGACGGAAAGTAGAGCACCGCCGGGAAGGCCTAAGGAAAGCGAGAGCTCGAGCCTCTACGCGCGAGTGTGCGGGGCGAAAGGAGGGAGACGGGGGGGGGGGGGGGGGGGGGTGCACGGGAGCGCGGGGGCGCGGGGGCGGTGGGCGGTGGGCTGGGCGGCAGGCGGTGAGGGAGTCTCTTGGCATTCGCAAGGGAGAGGGCGGCGGCGGGCCGGGCAGCGGTGGCGACGGAGGCGGCAGGCGGCGGCGGCGGTGGGCTGGGCGGCGGCGGGCTCCGGCTCAGTGATGGCGGGGGACGGTGGTGGCGGGATCGGTGGCGGTGGCGCCTTGATCCCGAGCGCGGAGGCGAGAGGGTCCTCTTTATACGACGCGCTGTACGCGGCCGCCACGGGCAGGTCGGTGTACAGAGACGTGTCCGAGGCAACCTCGGAGAAGACCTGGGGGGAGGGTTTCCCGAGGAGGTCATCGCGAGTCCCCGCGTGTTCACAGACGTCGTTCCACACGTCCAAGAACCAAGAGACACACACGTCCCGCCGGTGCTGGACTGGGAGCATGCGGGCAGTGTCAGTGGCGTGCAACGTGCAGGCTCCGGGCACTAGGGTTAGGGCTAGGGCTAGGGTTAGGGCTAGGGCTAGGGCTAGGGTTAGGGTTAGGGTTAGGGCTAGAGCTAGGGCTAGGGTTAGGGTTAGGGTTAGGGTTAGGGTTAGGGTTAGGGTTAGGGCTAGGGCTAGGGCTAGGGCTAGGGCTAGGGCTAGGGCTAGGGCTAGGGCTAGGGCTAGGGCTAGGGCTAGGGCTAGGGCTAGGGCTAGGGTGAGGCCGTATCTCGGCTACATCTCGACGGCCTTGAACATCGCGCTGGCGCTGGTCGGCTCTCGAAAGATCCCGACGAGGGCTGGGCCCTTGGCGACCTGCGTTGTGGGTGCAGGCAAGGCAAGGTCAACTCCTCCACACACGCGAGGTGGTGGGGCAGGGCGGGACAGCCCTCGCGACTCGACGTCTGCGAGAGAGTCAGGAGCCCACTGGGTACACCCGGGCGGTTGTGCGAGTATAAGGCACCGCGTAGTGAGCTGTGAGCCTCGCGCGGGTACAGTGGCCACGATCGCCCCTGCGTGTGTACTGCAAGCTTGCCGGTCGCCCAAGGCAGCGGCACCGCCAAACGGACTTCCCCGTCTCTCTTAACGGTCCACACACGACTCCCCGGCGCGTCCCCGAGTAGGCGCGCGTGCGGGAGGCTGCTCATATACCGCGCGAGGGCGCGCGGCTCGGCCGTGGAAGGCGTCGGTAGGTGGCGAGCCGTGTCTTCTCGAGGGCTCGCTAGCATGCCGGCAGGCCCGCGAACCAGGCGTGCTGTGGACGTGGCGGAGGTGGCACTCCGACGACGCCCGCGCCGTCTCCCGCACCTACCCCGACGGCCGTATTGCGCATCTACTCTCGGAGGTGTCTCGGAGGTGTCTCGGAGGTGTCCCGGAGGTGTCTCGGGAGTGTCTCGGCGGCTAGGCTTGAGATTTCATGATCTTTCTACTCTCATCTAGTCTCTCGTCTAGTCTCGGCGACCAAGCTTGAGACGTCTGCACTCTTGATCCGCTCGATCGGGCTGGCCGCGTCTGCGGCCTTGCCCGCCAGCTCTTTAGCGAACGAGATGATGCCTGTGGTGCTCGCACCTCCAGATGTGAGCAGGGTGCGCCACCCCCGGCCAGTCCTTGGGCAAAGGAGGCGACGCGCGCCCTTGGCCTCTCGCGGGCCCTCGTAGTCGCTCGCCTGATTAGGGGCGCCAGAGACAGCCCTCTCGTGGTGGAGGCGACTCGGAGGTGTCTCGGAGGTGTCTCGGAGGTGTCTCGGAAGTGTCTCGGAAGTGTCTCGGAAGTGCTCGCCTTGTTGGGGCGCCAGAAGACGGCTCTCTCGTGGTGGAGGCGACTCCGGACGTGCTAAGGTGCACAAGTGCGCTCGCCGCCTCGACGCTCGACGGATGTCGGCGTGTCTCGGCGTATCTCGGCGTATCTCGGCGTACCTCCCCTTTCTTGAATGTTTTTATCGTGGGGTAGCCGCTGACGTCAAAGCGCTCCGCGAGCGACTTGTGCTCGTCAGCGTCCACCTGGGATCGAGCACAGCAAAGGTCCTCTCAGTTGTCCAAACGCGTCAGTGTATGTGAGATTGCTGCGATAGGGTACCTTGGCGAGCGGGCAGTACTTTCGCGTCTTCTTGGCGGCCGCCGCCCACTCGGGGGCGAGCGACTTGCAGTGGCCGCACCATGGCGCGTAAAACTCGACGAGCGCAAACTGACAGACGCAAGCGATTGGGTCAGCAGCATCAGCAGCGGGAAGGGCTCTGGTGGCGGTGGTGGAGCGGCGAGGTGGCAGCTCTCGGCACCTCTTGCGCTTTGACCCAGTCGTCAAAGTTGTCCGGCGTGAGGACAGCGACGCCGTCTTCGAGCTTCACGGAGGATGCGGCGGCGAGGGAGAGGAAGAGAGGCAGCATCGATACCGGCTCGGGCGAGGGCTGGGCGAGGCAGACGGAGAGGAGGAGCTGCGCGAAAGCTTGGAGTGAAGCGGCTGCGACACGTGGCAGAAACCGTGAAAAAATAAGGATCCGAAAAGACACAATTAATAACATCGAAGGCTAGCTCAAAAAGTGAAGAACGGTGGGTCTGTGGTCAGCAGGCTGTGCAACATACAACTCTACAAAAACACATACACACCATTGTGAAGGAATACAAGGACGCGCGCGCTTCTCCGTCAACTTATCGTGAGAAGCAAGGCAGATTGAAAGCAGATTGAGCAATCGAATTGAGCAAGGTAGCAGAGGTGGGAGCGGCCGGAGGACCTCTGGAGCTGAGGACCTCTGGCAGCTAGGACACTTGTGGGAGCCTGACTGAGGACATCGCTGGGTGCGTCAGGATTGCTTGGGAAGAGTCAGACTGCCAGGAGCTGTCCTGGCCTCTTTTGCAGAGGTGGCAGCCTGGGAGACAGCACTGCAGGAAGTTCGACCCATGCCAAGACCGCTGTACGCTCCGACTGGTGAAGACCTTCGTAGGATGTGAGGACCTCTCGAGTATCTGTCGGCGATTCACCGCTCTCGTCTAGTCACTGTGTCTGTGCTTGCGACACATCCTCGTCGCTTTCCATATGTTGATGTGGGCGCGCATCTGAGTCGTTGAGTCTCCGGGCGCCTCTATAGCACAATCACTCGTACATAAACCGGATTGGCAGTTCAGAGAGAGTCATAGAAAGCCATAAGATTTCCAAACCTTTTCCTTTTGTGCGAGGCCGTCCAGGGCATGCGCATGGTATGGTAGCATCGACGTGTGAGTGTTAGAGTTGTTTGGTATTGCTAAAACTCTCTCTCTCTCGGCGGTCCCTGGGGGTATGGTCCTGACCGCCCAAGACTAGCCCTACCATACCCCAAGCAGGTCTGCCAGAGGCGGGGTGGGTGTGGTCTTGAGCTGGGTTCGCTACGACCTATACCATACCCGGGGTTGGCGCCCTTCTCCTTGACGCCGTTGACAAAGGTGAGCCGGTTCTCAAAGTACTTGGTCGGGTCCTGCTCCTCCTCCTCCTCCTCCTGCTTGGCCCTTCGCTTCTGCTCGTTCTTCGAGAGGCCCGCCTCGCCGGCGGGCTCAGCAGCCTCTGGCTCGTCCGGCATGGGCAGCGGCGAGAGAACAGTGCTTCTGCAGCGACGCACGCTGAGAGCTCGAGAAAAAGAATTTGCGTGAAAAGAAGAGAACACAGACACTATGACGACTACCACACCACGCACTACCACACCTCCCTGTGACATCATTATGTGCATAATACTATCTCTCCATCTCCTATCTCTCCATCTCCTCTCCATCCATCCGCTTTAAAAGATGAGCCGACCAAAACAACAAGACGAGCAGCCTGCAAGCACTGGGAGCCATTTGCGCCCCTGGCTGGCTCACAGATAGGCAGAAGTGTGCTGTCTTGAGCAGCGGGGGTACGCTCGAGGGTGGCGCAGAGCCACACAAAGTGAGGTCCTCACGAAGGGGATCGAGAGGTCCTCATGCTCTATCGACCACCTCGCTGAGACTCACCCAGGTCAGCCCCGCACCTCTGATGCGTCAGCCATTCCGCTATACAAAGTAGACGTCTCGATGTTTGTGCGCTCGAATGAAGGCAGCACAGTCCAGACAGAGCGCGATGCGTGCCAGCGCGAGAACACGTCAATAGACTCCGAGGTCCGGCAGAGGTCCTCAAAAGGAGAGGTCCTCACAGCAGAGACCGGAGTGGTTGCATATTCTCGCTCCCTCTTGATCTCTCTGACAATGTATCTCGCACATGCCCGCTGTCGATCAATCGGCTTCGAGCGAGCTCTCAGTACGAGATCAACCCAGCCTCTCGCGAGATCGATGTTGGGTGAGGCGTGGCTTGCGCGCCGCGCGGTGATGACGCCGCACGCTGAAATGTCCTTGGTGACCCACCGCGGTGGCAGCGAGCCGGAGCAAGCCACCATATGACAGTCGGCGACGGCGTCTAGTGACACTTTTTTTTTGCCTGCGGCCCCGTCTTCGCCGTCGCGAACCCTGGGTTCGGACTTTTTGCGGGGTATGGTATGGTAGGCTCACGCAACCCACCTCGAGACCATACCCCCCGCCTCTTGGAACACCTGCTTGGGGTATGGTAGGGCTAGCCTTGGGCGGTCAGGACCATACCCCCCCACCCTTGGGCCGTGAGAACACCATACCATACCCCGGAAAAAGTTGGAACCCTGCGCCTTGCAGGTGGGGCACAGGCCGTGCGAACTACCACCTGCAGCGCGAGGGAAGATCCTCACTGCCACCGCATCCACCACTCAGCAATGCAGTTCGACGCCGTCTGGGCTTCCCTCGCGTTTGGCGCCCTCGGCTGCCTCCTGCTGCTCGCTTGCCGCCGTCGTGGCGGCAAGGATCTTCCAAAGGCGATGCGCCGGCTGGTGGTCGTGGAGCCCAACGCGGACCTCGCCCTCGCCAGAGTGGTGGTCGAGGAGGAGGCGCCGCTTCCGGTGCTGAAGCGTGGCCAGGTGCTCATCAAGGTGTGCGCTGCCTCGATCAACCCGTCCGACTACGGCGCCTGGCGCGCAAGGAGCGCCAAGGGCGAGTACCCGCTGCCGACCGGGCAGGAGTGCAGCGGCGTGGTGGTCGCAACCGGAGGCGGCGTCTCGACGCTCGGGCTCCTGGGCCGGCGCGTCGCCGCCTTCCCCGGCAGCGGCACCTACGCCGACTACGTTGCCTGCAGCGCTTGGCGGCGAGAGGCGCTAGAATCACGTCCTCTTTGTATTCCGACGAGCACCCGAGAGGATGCGTGCTGCGCTGCAATCAGCCGTAGTCATTGCACTCGCAGCCCATGTAGTTCACGCGGTAATCGGAGCGCAGCACTGATCTTCACACTGACGAAGTCTTCACGCTGAAGGCTTCACACACTGAAGCCTTCACGCAAAGACACAACCCCGTGCCTTCACACTGAAGTCTTCACGCTAAGCCTTACACTGTAGGCTCGTCTGCCTGCCCGGCTCGGTGGCGCTCGCCGACGCGTGCGAGTTCTTCATCAACCCGCTGACGGTTGTGGCGATGCTGCTGACCGCCAGGGCGAAGCGCGCAAAGGCGATCATACACACCGGCGCCTCCTCCGCCCTCGGCCAGATGCTCTGCAAGGCGGCGCCCGGCTTTGGCGTCGAGGTGCGACATCTCCGAGATATGCATGTGCATGTGCATGGTCATGGTCATGTTCATGTTCATGTTCATGTTCATGTTCATGTTCATGTTCATGCTTCTCTGCGCAGCACTCTCCTATACTACTGCAATCCCATAGGCCGTGCTGTAACTGGACTCTGCTATGATCGCAATCCCATAGGTCGTGCACGTGACCCATCGGCAGCAGCACGTCGAGATGCTGCACAGGCTCGGCGCGACGGCGCGTGGCCCGCAGCGCTTGCTGTTTTTCTGCACTCCGGCTTCCTTGTACCTTTAGGCTCGGCGCTACGCACGTGCTCAACTCGAGTAGCGACTCGTACGGCGCTCAGCTCGACGAGAAGATCCGGGCGCTGCGCGTCAAGCTCGCCTTTGACTGCGTGGCGGGCGACTCGGCTGGCGCGCTCGTGGCCAAGCTGCCGCCTCGCTCGACCGTCTACGCGTACGGGCGGCTCTCGTGCTCGCACCAAAGGCGCCGCCAGTTTCTTCTTTCGAGGGGCGCAGTTTCTCGTTTCCTAGGCGGCTCTCCACGCGTGCGTGTGGGCCATTTACCTCTCTTCCCCTCCATGGGCAGTTTCGGCTCTAGGCGGCTCTCCTCGTCGTACCTGAGCGCGATCCCCGTCATCGACCTCATCTACCGCGGCAAGAAGGTCGAGGGCTTCATGGTCACCCGCGCCTTCGCCAAGTTTGGGCCTTTAGAACTCTGAAAGTACAAGCCTCTCTCACAGCACACTGGCACGACCAAAGGGCGCGGACTGGCGCGGACTGGCACACACACCGGCACACCGGGCCTCTAGAAGCGGAGCACGTATTCTTGTATCCCAACCAGCGCCCGAGAGGACACGTACTCAGCCGTATTCGGCCGTGTTCGGCTGTACTCACCGTACTCGCCTCCCTCGTATTCACGCGGTGCTCTGAAGACGCTGCAGAATACCCGTACTCCCGCCCCGAGGTTGGCGTACTCACCACGTAGGCTCGCACACACACACACACACGCACACACACACACACACACACACACACACACACACACACACACACACACACACACACACACACACACACACACACACACACACACACACACCGCTCACCCACGCGCACCGGGCCTTGCACTTTTATTGCCGTGGGGCTCCCGTCGTCTAGACGTGGAGACGCGCGGGTCGCCCCCCCCTTCCCCCGCCTCCTCGTGTGTGTGGAGAAGTTTACCTTACCTCACCTTACCGTAGGCTCGGGCCGCTCGGCCTGCTCCGGATGCTGCTCGCGATGCAGACCATCAAACGGGAGCTGCAAACGACGTTCGCCACCGAGTTTGCCGACGTGCGGCTCGAGGAGGTGTACGAGCGCGTGGTCGCCATCGACCCCGAGAGGCCGGGCGCCAAATCGGCGACGAACCAGAAGCTGCGCGTCGTCTTCGACTAGGGCCAGAGTTAGTTAGTTAGGTAAGCTAAGGTAGATTTCTCCACACACACAAAGTTGTGGGGCAAGGAGACACACACACACACACACACACACACACACACACACACACACACACACACACACACACACACACACACACACACCGCTCACCCACGCGCACTGGGGGCCTTGCACTTTTAATGCCGTGGGGCTCCACTGTCGTTAGACGTGGAGACGCGAGGGTCGCCCCCCCTTGCCCCACCACCTCGTGTGTGTGGAGAAGTTTACCTTACCTTACCTTACAATCGCACACTCTGGCCATCGAATGACTCCGAATGACTCACTGTGTCGTGTGCTAAGAGACAAAATCTCCGCAGACATCCAAAACGGGCCGTGCCGCGTTTGTGGTTGTCTTGATGGAGGCTCACTCGAAGAGCTCACTCGAAGAGCTCACTCGAAGGTCGCATCCAGCCACAGCCCGTAATCTCGGAGGAACTGGATGTACGGGCCAGAGTCCTCGGACGCGTGCGCAAAGTCGGCCGTGTCCGTGTCCGCATCGTAGTGGGCGCATCGCGCGCCCGCCCCGTCGTGGTCAAACGGGAGGTGCACCGCCTCGTGAAAGAAGCCTGTCGGCGGCACGGGGAGGCCGCCGACCGCGAAGAGCCGGGTGCCGGGCTCCGCGGCCAGCTGGGTGAAGTGCTTGAGGAAGTGCTGCACCGTCACGGACGTTTCGAAGAGCGAGTGGTGCCCCCCCACCACCATGATGGCCATCAGTGTCGCGAGCATCTTCGGCGTGACATTCTCGGCGCCGAGCGTCCCCGCAAACTGCTTGAGGTACTGCGCCGTCGTTCCCGAGATGCCGCCGATGAAAGGCACGGCGCACGCGCGGAAGAGGGAGGTGAGCCCGACCCCGCTCCTGGTGAGGAACAGCTTGCCCTGCGCCACGGCCTCGGCGGAGAACCCTGCGTAAAAGTCTCTGAGCGCGCCGATGGTGCAGTCGAGCTTCTCGTCGGTGATGCCACCGCTGAAGGTGAAGGCGGACGGGTCGACCTCCCGCCACATGATCTCTGATGTGTCTGCGGAGTGACGGCCCTTATGGTCGACGTAGAGCTGCGTGAACTTTGTGAGCTCGTGCAACCAGGTCATGGCCTCGTCGCACTGCGGCGTTCCGGCGACGCAGTTGATGTGGTCCATCACCGCGTACCTGCGGCAGGCAGAGGCACGCGTGAGAGCGAGGGAGGGAACGCGTTAGAGCGAGGCAGAGTCACGCGTGAGAGCGAGGCAGAGGCACGCGTGAGAGCGAGGCAGAGACATGCGTGAGAGCGAGGGAGGGCACGCGCGCGGCCACGTGCACCTCTTCGCGTTGGTGGCCGTTTCGGTGGTGAAGGCGAGCTTGCACGCCGCCTCGTCCTGCGGGGCAACGTAGCGCCTCTCCGCCTCCTGCAGCGCCTCGTTCAGCTCTCCTTCCTCCATGGGCGTTTCCCCTTCCGCATAGGCCTCACAAATCTTGTGCTCCCCGGCAATCGGAGCGTAGCGGGGAATCCCGGCCAGCCTGGCGGCCTCCGCCTCATACGAGGCCGAGCTGCACAATCTAGCGCTGCTATTGGGCAAGTGAGTCGGCGGCAGCAGCGCCTCGTTTATGGCCAGCAAGCCCTCGACCCCGGAGGCGCACGTCTTGACGAATGCGCCGTGCGCGAGCAAGTCCTCTTGCCGGGTGAAGTCCAGGTAGTTTGCACGCTGTCACGGGCGCAGCAGTGAGTGCTGGCCAGTGTCAAGGGGGCCAGACGCACTGAGGGGTGGCCCGTCTACCGTCTACCGGTAGACCGGGTAGACGGTAGACCGTTTGGTAGACGAGTCTACCGCAGTCTACCGGTAGACCGTAATGAACCTACGACCGCAGTCTACCGGTAGACCCGGGGGATGCCCCGCGCGCCTGACCCAGGCGCGAAAAACGAATCTGCGAGGCGTGGCCGCTCATGCGGCCCGATGGGGAGGAACGGGGCGGACTGCGGGAATCGGCCTCTTACACCGCCCTTCCTTGCAGCGAGCCCCCTCCAACCCACCCGCGCTAGGTCTCGGGTTTGACGCATGGGGTCACTCCCGCGAAACTCGGGAACTAGCCGGGGCAGTCGGAGAAGGGGCAACTCCGTGCACTGACGGTCGGCCGCCAGAAAACACGCCTGCGTGGATCGCGTCACACCAATCCTCGCTACCCAACGCGGCCAAAGGATATCCACCTCGAGAACCTCGAGACTTGGTAGACCGCGGTAGACTGGTCTACCCCTTTTTGTTATACCAAAAAGAGGGCTACACACGGCCCTCTACGCTGGGGCGCCGGCGCCCTACTGGGCGCCCCCCGCTCCCTTCCCGTTAGAGCCCCCCATCCCACTAGCATTCCCCCGCGGTCCCTCGCGGTCGCGCGACGCCGCACCAATGGCGCGCTGTGCCTCGTCCGCGAGCGCCGTCCAGAGCTGCACCGACAGTCGCTGTAGCGCAAACGGCATCCATTCGCGCGCCGACCACGACGTCTGGTCGTACTGCCACCACGTGAGCTTCCGGCCCGCCACCTTAGCCACCCGCATCAGCAGCTCCTCCACCCCCGCGCTCATTGCGCCGAACTCCTCGAAGAGCAGCGCCTCCACGCGGCACTTCCCCTCTGCGTCCGTATACTGGCCCTTGACAGCCTCGACCGTCCCGGTCCCCGTCCGCGGGTCCCACATCCCCACCCTCCCACCCCTGTCCCCGCCCTCCACGCCCAGAACCGTCTCGCGGGCGCGTGGCAGCGTGTTGCCGCAAGCGACAAACGCCCCCATGCGCCCCACCCCCGAGGGGTCCGACGGCACACCGGCAAAGATCTTCGTGTCGCCGATGCAGGGCAGGTCCCCAATCACGCCCTGGTAAATGTACAAGTCCGTCCTCGTAGTGCTGTGCTCGCAGTGAAACTCGTGCTCCACCGCGCCGCGCCCCAGCTTGCCCCGCAGCAACTCGACAAGGTCCAGGAGGACCTCCTTGTGCCGCGTCTGGTGGCCCGCCGCGCCGTCGTTCTGCGCCACGTCGCCAAGGGCGTCAAAGGGCAGACCGTGCTGGCTGTAGATGCCGTCCGCCATGACGTCCGTCATCATCGACAGGTGTAATCCGAAGCGGCGCTGCAGCGCGAAGCGCAGCACGTACGAGGGCAGACGGAAGTGCGCGCGGGTCGGGATCGCGTTCAAAAACGCGCCCGCGCCGAACTGGCTCGCCGAGACAAACCGCACCTGCTCCCTCCTCCCTGCGCGGCCCGCCGCCGCATGCATCTCCCTCCAGGCCGAATGGTGAATCGTCGCGGAGTATCGGCGCTGAGCGTGTTGTAGAAGATTGGTTTGCTGCGCGAGCTCCATTCGGTAAGCGGAAGGTATGTATGCGCCGGGGGCAGCCCTCTCGGGTTGTAGATGCGGTAGGCCCGGCCAGTCTTGTCGAAGAAATAGTACGTCTTCTTGTCCTCTCGGTACTTGGCGTCGAGGGCGGCGTGCGCCGCCACCAGCCGCGCCTGGCGGCGTGCGACGTCGAGGTGGACCGGCAGCAAAACCACGCCCGCGCGTCGGATCGCGTCCACCACCTCGTCGCCGCGCAGCCCGCGGCCCACCGCCGCCTGCCGCCGCCGCCGCCGCCGCCGCCGCCGCCGCCGATCTTTTGGCCTGCGCCAACACCGACATCCAGCGGCTGCGTGTCGGTGCGCGGGGCGGCGAGCGGCTCAGCGGCACATAAGGCACCCGCCGCGGGCTGTGTGCACTCCAGCAGCTCAGTGGAGCCAGAGCACTCCAGGCCGCCGACTGGCTGCCAGTTCGAAACCGCAGGGTCCCACGCGTGGCCGGCGGCGCCGGCGGCGCAGCCGCCAGCCGCCATGCCGCCAGCCACGCCGCCAGCCACGCCGCCAGCCACGCCGCCAGCCACGCCGCCAGCCACGCCGCGGCTCTCGGCTATCTCGCCATCGACGCCGCCACCATCCTCGCCTCCGCCACCGTCTTCGGCGGAGGTACCCACCGGCGCCGGGCTGTCGGACGACAGCAGCAGCGACGCCATAGAAAACGCGGGAACGCGCCCGCCGAGCTTTTGGCGTCAGCCGCCGAACGGTAGACCGCCGCCGCCGGACGGTAGACCGCCTCGGCCGTTTGAATATGCAGCCTCCAGTTCTCCACTCTGGCGCCACTTTGGCAGACGAGCGCCGGCAGATGCCCTCGCGGCCTGCCGGCGAACGTCCGTCCGGCGAGAACGCGCGATGAAAGTGCGGACTGCCGCGCGGGCGAAATCTGCCGGTGAGAGAGGCTGTTGAGCGCGGTCGCTGTGAGCTTCACCTCATGCCATTTCCGTGCGAGGCGCGCTCCGTGTCTTTTATGAGATCAAATGAACGTCTTTACACACTCATCGGGCGGAACCGCTCACTGCAGAGCGCCGCCCTCTCGCGGCTCTCGAGAGCGAGTTTTCGCCAGACAGCCACACGTCCATTATGGCGCGCGTTCTCGCCGGACGGACGTTCGCCGGCAGGCCGCGAGGGCATCTGCCGGCGCTCGTCTGCCAAAGTGGCGCCAGAGTGGAGAACTGGAGGCTGCATATTCAAACGGCCGAGGCGGTCTACCGTCCAACGGCGGCGGTCTACCGTTCGGCGGCTGAAAAAGGGGTAGACCAGTCTACCGCGGTCTACCAAGTCTACCGGTAGACAATATACCTACAAGGTAGACTGCGGTCGTAGGTTCATTACGGTCTACCGGTAGACTGCGGTAGACTCGTCTACCAAATGGTCTACCGTCTACCCCAGTCTACCCCAGTCTACCGGTAGACGGTAGACGGGCCACCCCTCAGCAGACGCATGCAAGACCTTGCAAGACGCACCTGGTCGAGCACGTGTGCGTCGCAGCCGATTTGCGCAACCATCATCTCTGCGTAGGCGCGCCCAATGCTTGCGTCAGCGCCATCGAGATTCACGACATATGCGCGTTGCAGCAAGTCTGCATTCTGTGCTTTGCTCCAGTCCCAGACCTCGCTGGGCGCATAGCCGTGCTCCACGGTCTCGTCACATACGAGCTTC